TTCCCCCTAAAATTTGACGAATTCATTAAGTTATCCATCTCATAAGCCGAGTAATATTGGAAAGGCCTTGGATCCGTTTGAAGTGCCGCCGAGGAAATCGGTGGAGCGCACGATTTTAGGCCACTTGTTTGAAGAATGTCCCGCGGTGGGGTTCCGATTCGGCAAATCTGCCCGCAGGGCAGGACGGCGGGAAATTTGGCCGAATGGTTTGTAAAATTTGCAAAGAACATGAAATTTTTTGGGGTTTTTAAAATACGAATTGACAAAAGTTTAGTAAATTTTTTTGGCCTACAAAATTTCGCTTCTTATTTTTGCTCCGGAAATGTCCAATTTAAAAAAATAATTGTCCTTGACAATTATTGCCACAAATTGCTTTTTAAGCCCCCACTTAAGCCCAAAGATCTTGCGTAATATGGCATTGTGATGCGTTATGCAAACAAAAATCGCCGGATTCTCACACCTCCCGATTGGAAGAGGATTAGGATTTCCGGAAAATGTGGGTTTGCATTTTTTTGGGGTCGGGAAGATTTGCGATTTTTGAAAGATTAGGAAAAACCGTATTTTTATGGGTTATTTCTTGTAGGTTTTACCTAGGATTTTTTGCATAAATCTTATAAAGAAAGTACCCAAATGTGACGCTCAGATTTTTTAAAAAATTTTAAAAATTTTTCACATATTTTGGATATAGGTCATGTGTCAATTTATGAAAATTTTTAGCTCCTGCTTTTCAGGAGCTGCCAAAATATTCAACGATCTTTACCGCTGAGAGAGTACGTGAAACGCGGAGATCAGTCAGAGAGAAAACGCCTTTTTAGCCATATCTTTGTCAGTTTCGCGTGGAAAAAATTGATTTTTTGTGGAAATATTACCCTCGACGGTTGAAATATGGGTGAAACTTTTCAAGTCAAAATTTGCAAAAAAAGTGTCACATTTTTTTCGACTTTCGGCCTAAAAATCTCGGTCGTTCTGCAATTCGCAAGCTAGGAGTGTTGTATTTGTATTAAAAAAAAACTAATTTAAATTTGTGACAAGTTGCATCAAAATCTGAACGTCGCAATTGGATTACTTTACTTCCCTTGTAAAAAATCTTCAAAATTCTATTTTTGATGTCCAAAACTTTGATGTCCAAAGCCAATTCTTTAACAAGAATTGGCAATATCCGTATTTTACCTACATCTCGGACTTTTTTATTTCCCAATTTTTTTTTCAATGTTATGGAAAATAAAAAAAAAATTTCCTTGTTGATTGCTCCGCTCCACATTTTGAACCGTTTATTCCTGTCCACTCTCGTTTCCTCGCCGTGCATTTTGATTTTGTTTTGTTTAAATTGCGCGGAAATAGATTTTTAATGGCTGACAGGCAATTTAAACGCGGAAACAGTCAACAACAGAATCATAAATTGTCTGCGAAAAGGTGTTGCGACGGGCACGGTAATTAGGGGGTGGCCCGGAAAAGAGAAGTCAGATTTGAATAGCCCAATAATAGTTGTTCCGGAAATTGTTTATAACACTTTTACAACACATAAAAAAGTATTTTTTTTTGGGGATTTTTTGAATTTTTATTTTTTATAATTTATAAATAAAAATATTTTTTTTTGATTTTTTGGTATTTTAAAAATAAAAAGTCAATTTTTTTTGTTAATTTTTTATTTTTTCAAAGTAAAAAAAACATTTTAAATTAAATTTTTTTTATTTAATTTTTTTTTCAAAAAAATTTTTTTTTCTCCACAATTGACCCCAATTAATTCCGAAAGGTCCTCAGATCCTCTTATGTCCCGTAAACAACATCAAGGTTAATCCATTTATTGGCCATGTCATTTATGAGTCAAGTGTCGCTCTCCTCAACGGGCCCTTTTTGAGGGCCCATCTGTCAAAAGTCGTCCCGAATTTTCATAAACTTTTCATCCCGCAATTAATTTGTTTATTGCCTCTGGCGAATGGGGGAGGGTTTTGAGATGAGTTCATTACAAAAAATACTGTAAACGGTCTGTATAAAAAAATAACGACGGACCGAAAATTTTTTGTTATATAAGGGCTTTGTTGTACGAAGGTTTTTCTCTGCAGAACAAAACCTTCCCATTACAAATATTTTTTTTGCTCCTGCATTTTGTGGTACATAGCTTTGACGGAAAGTATTAAACTAGCGTTATTTCTAAATTTTTTGCGATCTTTAGTCATCATCTTGCGCAACAGATTTTTGAAATCGCTCAAAATCCTTTGAAATCTCAAAAATAAAACAAAAAATTTTGATTTCGATGCATGCCATATGGTATTTAATTAAACGCGATATTATTTCTTTTCGGAATCGGTTTTTTATTTTTTGTCGGATAAGAACAATCAAAATCGACCTTTAAAATACGACGGTCAGCGTTTGGTTTGTTTCGCCTTTGTTTGTTTTAAGCCAAAATTATTTATATGATTATTGGTCGCTGGCTAATGAATTTGTCTAATTTTGGGGTTTTCAAGGTGAAATTCGTACAGTACTGTTTTATTTTAATAGTTGCTGTAAGATCAGTACGATGACTTCGTTTTAAGCTATGGTAAAATACGAGGTTGATTGTGATCCGAAACTTTCACGGCTCACGGCAACCGATACTAGGTCGGCGAAGCGCCGAAACGAGGCGGGAGACTCCCTGGGTTGCCGTGCGGCTTCTGATCGGGCTTTTGGCTCCGGCTCTGAGCGGAGCCGGAAATTTTGGGGCCGGCTCCAAAGTCGGAGCCAGGCTTCTCAGAGTTCAGAAAAGTAAAAATTTTGTGATATTGTTAATTTATTGCAGGGTGGGTCATCGTTGTGGCACGATTTGAACTTACTGTAACTTCTTTATTTTTAGGCCAAATGTCAAAATTCTTTTTTTCATGGAATCCTCAGACTCTCCCATTTTGCTGAATACCAAACATGTTATACCTATTTATAAGACTACAGTAAAATTAACTGCAAAAAAAAGAAAAATTTTTGCTCATGGATGGACAGTCCGTGGGAAGAAATTAAACTTTAAACATATTATACTATGTGCCGCACTTTGAAAAATTCACATGTGAATGAATTATGACTCAGTGCATTTTTTGCTAAAATACGTTGGTGTTGTCTTCTTCTTTTTTATTTTTTTCTAAAAAGCCTTCATTTTTACCCCTGAAAAGTCATCAAAGTTCCAAAATAACCCTTTAGGGCAATAAATCTCAAAAGTCAAAAGAGTTCCTGACAAATTGATAGTATAATAATAACAATTAAAATAAACCTATCTATTTTCTCCAATTCACAGGAAAATTAACAACTGTTCTTTCGCCAATTTGATGACTCAAGGGGATCAAAAAATAAGTCTATTTCTTAGCCTTTGACCCCTCAGGCAGAACTGACTATTTTCCTAAAGTTTTTTGACTATTATCTTACAATTTACTTCCTTTACATTTATTTTATCTCACTTTTAAACCCCTAAAATTCATGTTTCTCCCCTTTTCCGGCCTCTGAAATTTGACGCCGCTCTTCTTTTTTTTCGTCGAACCCTTTAGGGCAAATTTTTGGTTTGCCTATGCCATTCTTTTGGAATTAGTTGAAAGCCCCCTTCAGAATTCCAAATGAATAGTAACAAGCAAGTACTAGTTAATTGTGCCAACAAACTTGCCCAAAACTTTCGCTGTTGAAGTGCCGTTAATTAAGTTCTCATCTTCTCTCATTTTTTTTTATTTTCTTGTGTCCTCGACTTTTTCTTGGACTTTGTAAGTGGCGGGCAAATCTTTTTTGTTTCGTTTTTGGATGAGGAAAATATTGGAAGATCAGGGGGCTCGAATACAGCCAAACAGAATCGCGATTAATCGGACCAAAAAGGGTTCGTTATGCAAAGGGGATTCCTTTTGAAATCGAGCCAAAACTTACAAGGGAAGTACCCCAAGTGCGACGCACAGATTTTATGAATTAGAATACTCTTTCTAAAATATATGCGGGGCTCCTAGCTCGCGCTTTGTGGAAATGACCGAGATTTTTAGGTCGAAAGTTGACAAAAATTTGACACTTTTTTGCTAATTTTGTCATGAAAAGTTTCGTGTCTATTTTTATGGTAGAGGGAAATAGTTCCACAAAAAATCAAAATTTTCATGAAACTGGCAAAGATATGGCCACAAAGCGTTTTCCTCTCGGGACGTTCTCCGCGGTTTGCGTGCTCTAAAATCTCGAATTGGAGATTGAAAATTGCTTGAAAAATCATTGCAAGGCTATTTTCAAATTTCAAGGGTTTTTGGAATTTAAATTTTAAAAAATATTTTGATTTTTTTAATAAAAAATTTTTCAATTTTTTGGCACTTTCCGATTAAAAAAATATTTTCCCCAAAAAAATATTTTTCTTTTCGCATTTTGATATAATTTGTGATAATCCATCAACAGTGACCCGGATGTTTTTCCAGAAACCCAACGACAGTTATGCAAACCGCGACTTTGAATAATATTTGCACATTGCACAAGGGCTGATAAAACCTTTGTATCCCAGAATGGAAAGCGAAATGGAGTTTAGCATTAATAACTTTTGTGGGAATTTTAGTAGGTCACTCCTTGGCGTAATGCCCCAAATTTTCAATCAATAAAAGGACCGTTTCAAAAAAAATTTTTAATCATAAAACAACACTGCAATTTTCTGCACAATTGAATTCCAGGTATAAGGAATTCAATTGTAAAAAAAATTCTGCGGATTTGAATAACAATTTTTTGAAACTTGATTTGTCGCCTCCGAATTTGAATTAAAGAAAAATTGAAATAAATGCAAAAAAACTAAAGTTTTTTTTCGAATAAAATTAATCCCAAATTCTTTTAAATAAATAAAAAAGCTGTTTAAACCTTTTTTTCGTTTGAACTGAAGCTTGTAGTGTTTGAGGAATCAACACTTCCAGACTATTTGTGCTAAATATTTTGTTTCATCGAATCACTGCCACTTCTTCCGACGGCCAGCCCTTTTTGGCCACTATAAAAGCCTGATCAATCCCACTGTCTACATCAATATCGGAGATCATTACAAGATGAGAGCCATGATTGCCTGCTGCTTGGTGTCGACGGCGCTGGCCGCAGTCCTTTGGGAAGAGGACTTTAACAGTTTCGATACCAGTAAGTGGAATTATGACCTCGGCAACGGCGATGGTGGATGGGGAAATGCGGAGTTGGAGTGCTATACGAACAGTACCAACAATGTGAGAGTGGAAAATGGGCACTTGGTGATTGAGGCAAGAAGAGAGGACGTTGGTGGATGCTCTTTCACTTCCGGAAAAATCCATACTCGCGGAAAGTTTGACTTTAAGTAAGTCAGGGCGCAGCTCGCCGGGTTTGAAGGATATTTGATACAAAATTTTAAAACCTTGATTTTCTTCAACTTACTACGCCATATAGAAAGATATTCGACGACCACAATTGTTCAATTGTCGACTATGGGGTTAGCCAGGGCGCAGCTTGCCAACAAAGAGATCCGCCAAGAATTTTTAAGATTTGATTTTGTTAGTTCCAAAAGACGTAGAAAAAGAAATTCCACAACCAAATTTTTTTTATTGTCGACTACGGAGTTAACCCAGGGCGCAGCTCGCCGTCCAAAAAATCCGTTTAGATCGTGCCTTATATCACTAAAAAGATCAAGAAGCTTGTATTTATAACCTATAAGTCTATTTTGAACCAAAATCCGTTCTAAAACATTATTTTTGCTAAGATGAGGGCGCAGCTCGCCAAATAAAATCTTTGCCAACAAAATCATTCTTGTTTTGCCTCCAGCCCAGGAAGCTGGAATTGCAAAGCTTGATGACAAAATTTCAATTACCCTTCCACTCCCTCTAGATACGGTACCATCGAAGCCATGATCAAGCTGCCCAACCTGGCCAACGGCCTATGGCCCGCTTTCTGGATGCTCGGCGCCGAATCCAACACCTGGCCCGACCAAGGAGAGATTGACATCCTCGAATCCGGCGTCGCTGACGCTATTTCCTCCGGTAATGTGAACAAAGAGGTCCTCGGCACTTTCCACTGGAGCAACAACGGCCAGTACGCTGCATACGGAACCAATTACGTCGCTCCCAGCGACTTGACCAACGACTTCCATTGCTACAAACTTACCTGGAACGAAACGGAGATCCGAATGTTCGTGGACGGAAACCAATTCATGGTCTTCGACATCACTCCATTGCCCGTCTTCCAAAAGAATTTCTATGTCATCTTGAACTTGGCTGTTGGCGGAAACTTCCCCAATATTCATGATGCTGCATCTGTTACCGCGCCATTGCCAGCTCAGATGTTGGTCGACTACATCAAGATCACTCAGTAAAATTGTTGTGGTTTTTGGCTCATGCAATAAATTAACGTATTCCGTCAAAATATTGGATTTCTTGAAGAAGTTTTTAAAATTTTAAATGTTATATCTCAGTTCTCGATGTAATATACGACTTAATTTTTTTGCCGATGCCTCAGGGCATTGTGAGATCCCATTGTGCCAAGTTTTGCCCAGATGTAAAAACTAAAGAACCGAATTTTTGAGATTTTTTGTTTTTTTCGTCCAAAAATCTCTCAAAAGTTGGAAAAATTGAAATTACTGTATGCCATAGGTATTGCTCGGGCCCAGAATCTTTTCTAAGTTATAACCAGTCCACAGTTTTCCCTACAACTGACATTTCCGACCTTATATTAGCTGTACAGTAACACTTGAATTCAAAATAAAGTTGTTGTGTCAGAACTCCACGAATCCTGCAAAAAATTCGATGCTGACTTAGTCATCATATCACACTTATCACGCTTTATTGCAATGTAATTTTTTGATACTTTTACGGTAACCTCTAACAAAGAATTTTAAGTCGTCTACCTCGCTAAACCTGTCATCAAACTCCCTTCATTTTCCCTCTCCAACCATTCCGTTTATTGCCCCAAATACCTGCCCACCCGTTCCCCGCCACCTTGATCTTCACGCGTGTCAGCCTTGTAATAATGTTGTTCTTTCTGCAAAAGACATAAAACCCCCATCGAACCGAACATAATTAACTCGCCGAAAAATGGGTTATATGATCCAGTTCCGATGTTTTTGTTGTTACAAAAGGCTCCTTCAGCGGGTGTCAAATAAAACTTGGAGGCGGATACAATACGCTTCGAATGGGGTTGTATTATACATATTATGTTGTTTTATAGGGCTTATTTTTTGGAGATACTTTAGAGGGGAAGTTGAATATTTCGACGGTCCTTGAAACGCGCGAGCTAAAACTTTCATTGATTGATACGTCGCTTATGTCCAAAGTGTGTGCAAAATAATATATAACACAAAAAAATTGAAGCTTTCCAAGTAATATCGATGTCTGTTTTTGGATCCCCTTTTTACCCATTCCATTTCCGTTTTTTTGAATATTCAACATGGAAAATATGCAAAAAAAACATACCCCTCCTTTTTTAGAACGAACCGCACCTCTAAATGGGGTTTTGATTTTGGGCAAAGTAATCAGAAAACGTCTTTTTTCCAAGGTAATAAAACAGCTTGATTTTTTTTACACTGAAAATGTGAGACTTCTGGCGTTGAGGGTTTTTTACTATCAGAAAAAATAAAAGTTTTAATGGAATTTCTTTGATGAGAAATTGGCGTTACATGTCTAAACAGCTACTTTTGAGTTTAATTGTGATTTCCATTACCAATTATGACATTTACCCCCAATTTGGGCAATTTTCGAGTACAATAAGTGCGAAGGTTTCCAATCATCGAGCCATTTTTTGACAACGTTTTTGTGGTTCATTTTGGCCTAAAATTCTGCCTTGGAACTATCGTTATAAACATGCTGTTCTACTGAAGTTTGACTGTACTTACCAAACTAACAATGACAAATAGTAACTTCAAATTTACTTCTTTCCTCTGATTTTTCATTTTGAGCTGCTGCTGTATTTTTCTTAACTTTTTAACCAGACAAATTGAACCACCGTATTTTACCTCATCCCCCCTCCAACCTTTTTACAGCCGCCCTTCCCATACAAAATTACAGCATGTCGGGTGGTGGTCGATAAACCTCGCATATTTATCGGTGAATCTCTTTCTTCAGCGGCATTAAATGAGAGGGCGCGTGCGTGAGTTTTAATTGATCGTGGGACAGGTGCCGAGAGTTCCGCTGCTCTGACCCTTTAATCTGTTTAAGGAGCGCCAAAAAAGTTTTCTTTTCTCCAATCCATCATCGCCTTATAAGATTAGAAAAAGGGATATCATTAAAAGGTTAAAGGTGAAATATGATGATAAATGGGGGAGAAGAATAATGAGCGCGTTTATGGGGATGGGATGATATTATTTTAGAGACGGTACTGTTTGATTGAGGAATTCGGGAAACTTCTTTTAGCGAAATTGTAAAAATGGGGTAAAATACGGAGCATTTGTGTGTTTTCTTGTATTTGATTGTGTCTTTTCAAGTATGGGAGAAGTTAGGAGAAGGCTTGGTTTCTAGAAATAATAAGATTGATCGGCTCCTAGGACAACTTTTCACCTATTTTGATGACTTTTCCATGTACTCACATCAACAATATCTAGATAAAACTTACGGAACTTCGTATTTTGCCGCAAATTTTTGTCTTTTATATGTTACAATGGCTCAGGGTACAGAAAACTAACATTAGTAATAGCTAAAATTATTTATAAAAAGTATACATATTGCAAGTCTTCGCCAAGTCTCCGCCAAGTCTCCGCTGAGCCTTCGCCGACCATACAACGGCTTTGCCAGGCCTCGTAAACACTTCCTACGACCTTTTTTTAAGTATCTTTTATATTTCTTCTCTTTCCTTACTACTCCGTATATCGCCAAAAATTATCAAAAAATCGGCTTCTAATTATGACTCATCTAGGTTTTCTTCTTTCTGCACAGCGTATTTTACAAAAATTCATTCGGAATTCATATTTTCCGGCGATTCGCCAGCTGTGCCTAATAACCCAGGAACATACCGGAACCAAATTATGTATGCGATCAGAATCGAAGCCGGTATTTTATGCGTCATTGAATCGCAAAACAGGTGCGGGACCAATAACGGGGCAGTCCGTTTAGCCGTGTTTTAATGGAGGGTGAGGATGGGACGGTAAAATTGTTGGAAATGCGATGACTTTTTGCTGAAATTTAAAAAAATTTTTAGGCATTTTACGGGTTTGAAGGGCAAAGATTTTTTTGGAGAAACCACGAGATTTTTTCGTCGAAATTTGGCAAAATGTAAAAATTTTTGCCAATTTTCGGCGTCAAAAGTTTCATGATTATTTCCACTGTAGAGATGTTGATCTGTCCACAAAAAAATCTATTTTTTCAAAGCGAAACTGGCAAAGATGTCGACAAAAAATACTTCGCTCTTTGGCCCTCTCCTCGTTTTGAGTAGTCCTTCGGCCGCAAAGAGTTATAAAAAAGGCGTTTTTTCCCTCTCCGTTCTCCACCTTCCGCGTAGTCTCTCATTAGCAAAGACCGTTGAACATGTTAGCGACTACTGCAAAGCAAAAAAAAATCAAATTTTTTAAGTCAACATGACCTACGTTTATTTATGTCGTGTCCAAAATTTATATAAAATCTTTAAGGCTCTTATGTTGTTAGGAATTTTGCTTGAACAGACTTTCAGAAAAAACCGTATTTTACCATGTTCTTCGATTTTCTAAACCGAAGAACAAGATAATCCAATTAGAGCAAATCTTGAGCAAACAAAAGTTTATTGTTGTCCAAACGGACATGTTTGGAGAAATCGCTGCCTAATCTTTATTGTCTCAGCATTCTTGTGGGAAACGGATTTTGATACAGTATGCTCGCTTTTTTGGAATCAAGAGCTCAAAATAAAACAGTATATGAACTCTGGGCGCTCCGTATTTTACAGCATTTGCTTATTTTTTCGCTGAAAATCTCTGTTTTTTTTTGCAAAAATGCAACTGTTTTTCATCAAATTTCAACTGAAAATAGTCAATTTTGGTATCATGCTATGATCTTGCATCGTATTTTACATTTTAAGCTTTATTTTTTTATCAAATTTTTTCGATATTTTTCTCTCAAATCATATGTTTTTCCTATAATCTTCGACTGCGCTAATCCGCTAACGATCTGACCGATTAGGAGGTGCTAAACTGTTTTTTCGTCCCTCCATTCGGAACCGTTTGTTTGACCAATGATTTAGTTGGTCTGGTCAGCAGTTTTTTTGCATTTTTTTGGAGAGAAAATAGATAAATTTAGTGGTGTTCAAAGGTGTATGCGACGTATTTTACCCTTTTCTATGTCCATGAAAAACTCCAGACGACGAAGTCTATGGATAACAAGCTTTTTTACAGGTCTGAAAATTTAATGTTTTGCTGTCGTAATATCTAATCTCCAGCCTCGGCTAGCCCTCGCAGAGTGATGATGAGCGATTCCAAGCCGCAATGAATCCACATTATTTTCCCGACAGACTGATACAATTGAGTCTTGGGCTTCTGAAATTGACTGTTATAGCCAGATTTTGTTGTGATACCGTTGTACATGGACTGCAGTCTAACCTTTCCTAACAAGGAAAGTACTTCTATGGGGTATGGAGTTACCGGTCGAGATATATGTCAAAAAATTCGCAAAAATTTTCTGCTTCAGAATATATAAAAATTAGCTGCCTAATTTTGGTATGTAAGGGTGAAAAAATCCTCAGAACTTTTCTCGAAACACCACGCAAATGCCTTTTTGACCAAGTTTTTACCAATTGAAAACCTTTGCTTGGAGCCAAAGTAAACTCTGGCAGCTTGACAAGCCTTAAAAAATAACAAATTTGATTAATACTAGACCTTAATTAGTAGTTCCAACATAAAAAAAAATTTAAAAAAGGGGGCCATTGAATGGTGTTGCGAGAAAAGTTCTGAGGGAGTTTTCACCCTTACAAACCAAAATTAGGCAGCTAATTTTTACATATTCTGAATCAGAAAAATTTTGCATTTTTTTTGATACATGTCTTGACCTGTAACTCCATACCCCATCGAAGTACTTTCCTCGTAAAACATACCGCTTTGAACCCCCTAAATCAACACTTTGTCCTGTCAAATCCGAGTCATCGCCAACTGTCGCAATGTGTCGTAAAAGGCTTTTTCGTAGTGCTTTTTCGCCCTCCCTTTGTATTGCGCAACCCGACAAGTCGCCATGATTTGTGGATCCGCCTCACCTTTTTCCCATTCTTTTCTCGGCCAAGATCCCAGCCTTTCTCTTCTCTTATTCAAATCCCCCCTTTTTGCGGATGCCGCCCGCAAAAAACGCGACAACCTGCCAATTAGCGCGCGACAATAAATTAAGCCACAAAGTGTCGCATTTTAACACGACAACCAACAATTTGCGGATG